AGTAAGGGATTATATGCAATACGCGCCCATAAGAAGTGCGGAATAACTGATAGGCAGCTTATTCTTGTCTATTGTAGTATCATCAGGTCTGTTTTAGAGTATGCGAGTCCCGCTTGGGCTGGCCTCACGCCGGCAATACTTAAGTGATCAAATTGAATCAATACAAAAAAGGGCGTCGACTAATTTCTCACCTGTAATTTCATCCCTACCGCCTGTAACTTCTGTAACCTGTACCGTTTGTGATGTTCTCATTTAGACAGCTAGACACAGACAACTCTGAGCAGGAAAAAGATCTTTTAAACAATTCAAACTACGCTCGAATGAGCCGCGACATTTAGTCAAACAGGCTGGAGAACTAAGTGCGGCAAAGTGAAGTTGGCCCGAAAATACCAAATGAAAATGTTGCTTGACTACATACCTGTACCAGTCTCCCTCCATCTAATCCTACGATCCTAAAAGCTCTTCCAAAATCTTTTCTCATCAAAATGAAACCTATAAAATGAAAATATAGAGCTAAAAAATGGTAAAGAAAAGAATGAGAAAGAGAAAGAAACGGAAGAATGAAAAAGCCAAAGAAGAACATTTTGGAAAAAAAATTCCTTTTCGCTCATGCACGAACTTTGGAAGCATCAGGAACAGACGGCCCCGAAGCGATCTACTCAGACGGTTTAATTTCTCTTAAGCCAGACAATGATCAGAAACTGGATCGTAAAAAAAAGAAAAAGTGGAAAGCGTATTAACACTTCCCTGGTTTTGAATTATAAGTTAACTTACGGCAAAAAGCTTATTACTTTGATAGTCTGCTGAGAGGGAAGTCCTAACACATACATTACTTTATTTAGGGTAAGAAGAGTTTGTTTTAAATCAAATTTATTCAGTGCAAATATGGTGCAAAAAATAGCACACTACGATTAAATCAAGGGCAAAGATTGTAAATAACGCATTTGCCAAGAATTTAAAACCCCATGTCAACTGGGATGCAAATGCGGTATTTACCATCTTTGCCATTGATTTTCTCCTAGTTTGCACTTTTTGCATCATATTTGCCAGTAAATTTGTGTTAATTTAATTTTTCGTGCAGCGCGGTTCTTCTTACGTCAATTTAAACTGGAATTCTGTCACAGAGAATAAAAGGTTCTACCATGTTCCCGTCTGCGGAGAAAAAGCTAAGCGGATGATAAAAGTATAATAACTATGGCTACCACGAGGCTGTGTTCAATATGTGTACTACAGTACGGTTGAGGATGTTTTAATATGGAGATGCTCGTTTTTCATATCTCCCCCAAACTTACGCAACGTTTTTTGGCATCCCAATTACAGAAAACTGGACAAACCTGTCTTCCCCCCCGCCCCCCACCTTTGATTAGGAACGTGCAAGTACAGACGGTAAGCAGCGATGCTTAGTAAACAGATAAAACATAGAAAAAACAAGAATAAGAGGTGTTAGCATGAATTGATGATTATATAAATTTGAACATACGGAATGAAGAAATAAACGCAAAGATTATAGTCGCAGTTAAAAAGGCAGCTTTTGCAGTTGCGAAGGTCCATGTACACAATTACTGTCTGTACTATATACAAATCTGTTTTTATTGTAGGAGTTACGTAATACCATTATTGGTACAAAATTTTTTCCTAACAATTAAAATTGCAATCTCAAAGTCAAACTCCTTGGCTCAATACGCCGAAACCAAAGAAACTTTCTTTGATTTTTCTTAAGACAAATAGTTTTTCTTATCTGAGATAAACCTTCATCATGTCTTGCCTCATTTAAGACTATGCCTCCGACAGCTTAGGTCATGTGAGACGTTTCGATAAAATCAGCCTGCAACTGAAATATTGGACCACCAATGCTTACGGGAGCTGAGCAGGCTGTCCCAATGCCAAAAAGCTAAATACTTTTATGCGCATTTTTAGATTCAGAGCGCCGAAACCTAAGAAACACGTCAAACATACATTGTAATGACTACATTTGCAAATCAACACCCACAGAATGATATTAGAGATAGGCTTATGGAAAGGTTTATATTGTATCCCCCATTATCCAAAGCGTCACACTGGACTATCACTTTGTTAGTTGAACCGTTCAAGGAACAAGGAAAAAGGTAATTCCCTAATTCATTCTCCTAAATCGGCTAAATTTCCTTTAACCCTTGTTTTTATCAAACACCTTTTTAACAAAATTTATAAATGTATTTATTTGGCAAGGCTAAGGCTGTAGCAATTCGGGAAGAACGTGGTCCACTCATTGGGACGATAATGTTTTAACTGAATTTTCTTGTTACATTCACTTGGTGCATGCGTCCTTTGAATTGATCGACTGTTGTGAAGTAGATAGATTTTTTTTCACTTTGTTAGTTGAACCGTTCAAGGAAGAAGAAAAAAGGTAATTCCTCAATTCATTATCCTAAATCAGCTAAATTTCCTCTAACCCATGTGGTTAACATAACAAATACCTTTTTAACAAAACTTATGAATGTATTTATTTGGTAAGGCTACAAATGTCTGTTTTCGGTACCTTCCATGTTTTAATTTTAATTTTTGTTAAGACAAATAATTTGTTTGCCCTGAAATAAATCAAGACGAAGGCGTTGTCTTGCCTCATTTTGCACAATGATTTTGCCCAGAGCTAAGGTAATGCCAGATTTTTCGATATTAAAACACCAATGAGTAGCTGAGTCTAGCAAGAGGTCCCAATGATAATTATAGCATTATTCTCTCGCAAAAGATTTTTGGCAAATATTTAGTCTTAATGCGTCGAAACCGAAGAAACGCTTCATATGATGATTAATCGGTGAAAATGTTAACGTACAGAAAAAGGCTGAGATTCGCTGACGCACAGGTATAATTGTTTGGCATCGATACCTTCTATGTTTTGAAATAAACGTTCTTCAAGCTAAAGGCATTGTCTTGCCTCATTTTGGACAATGACTTTGGTAGGAAAGGTCATGTGCCAAGTTTCGAGAAAAAGCAGCCCATGATTGAAATATTGGAACACCAATAAGGAGGAGCTCCCAATGTTAATTAGGATTATGCCTTCGTAAAATTCTTTCATGCACAATGCGCCGAAACCAAAGAAACTTTCTTTGATTTTTCTTAACACAAATAGTTTTTCTTATCTGAGATAAACCTTCCTCATGTCTTGCCTCATTTTAGACTATGCCTCTGACAGCTTAGGTCATGTGAGACTTTTCGATAAAATCAGCCCATAAGTGAAATATTGGACCACCAATGCTTACGGGAGCTGAGCAGGCTGTCCCAATGCCAAAAAGCTAAATGCTTTTATGCGCATTTTTAGATTCAGAGCGCCGAAACCTAAGAAACACGTCAAAAATACGCGAGACGTTTCGAGAAAATCAGCCCATAACTGAAATATTGGACAACCAATGAGTACGTGAACTGAGCAGGCTGAATAGTATGGAACAGTATTCCCGACAGTGATTGTGCTCTACCTAAATATAAATTTAAGAATACCCTGCAGAGTCGGCTGCTGGACATTTTGATACAGGAGGATACTTATGTTGGCGTGCGTACTTTATTTGACATATTAAGTAAATATTAATTTTTTATGTTAATTTTATTCATACCTTGTTTCATTTACCTGTTTTGAAATATATGTATTTTATGCCTTGTTAATTTAATATGTTGATGTTCGTGTGTCTGTTTAACTTTATTGCCATGTTTCAACCCTATTATTGTAACTTTTTTTACTTTTCCTTCCCGCCTCAACTAGCCATAGGCTACTTTGCGGGCAATGATTAATTATGGCATGTGTGCAAAGTGTTTTTAATAAACGTGAAAATGGACAAAATAATAATAATTGGAATCTCTAATAGTAATAACAATTGGAATCTCAAATTGTAGTAGGACTGTATTTGGTTACCCTAACAGCTGAATTTCTTGTTAGATACATACAGACGGAGATACGAATGCTACACTGCCTTGTACCAAATATACGTTTTTTTGAGATCCGACCGGGCCATAATCTAGTCCGCCCCACGGGAATCTAGTTCGCTTTTTCTTGGACATGGAATTTTACCCTCATTTTTAATAAGATAGAAAATAATTAGCCGCAAACCTCAGCTATTTATTCAACAGGAGAGGCTTGAATACGAGAAAAAGCTTCCTAGGGGTGAATATTTGAGCATCGTAAGTGCAGGAGGTGAAATTAAAGGAGGTCCACTGCAATGATAATCATAGAATTATTCTCCCGCCAGAAACCTGTTATGCGTATTTTTAGACATGGTGCATCAAATCAAAGAAATGCTTCCCAAATGATGGTTTAATAAAAATGCAGACTTACAGAATATTGCAAGATCTTTGCAGATTTACAGGTACATATGTCTGTTTTTGGAATTATGTACCTAGATCTATGTCTGATTTAAGATGAAGGTGTCTCTGTATGCGTGGAAGTCTGTTGCAAAGGCTGATGTTGACCTACTTAACTGTACGCAACAAGACAAGTTTGTATTTTTAGGCTTGGGGTTAAGCCAAGAACGAGCCAGATAATGGCTTTCTTAATAAAAGACTCAAAGTCAACTATCCTGATACATTTTAGGGCGTTCACGTGTTTCTGAGCTGTAATGGTGAAAATGTTTCTGTAACCTGTTTGGCTTACTTTTTCCACCTAACGTAGAAGTTGAAAAGTAAAGTTAGCACTGACCCTGTCATCAGCTAAAGAGTAATAGACACAAAGAATATTAGTCATCGAAGTGGCAGCTTCCCTCGGACATTGTCAATGCTCAATGAGTGATTGAGTTTGGCATCTTTTTCTATTGGACATCATATCTTACTAAGAAATAAAACTCAAACAAGATCCTATATATAACATCTGTTTGTCTTATTTCATATTGAGCTATTATGTTAAAAAAAAATACCATGTAAGTTGACCATGAAGTCAATCTAAGCCCGAGGGTCTTACAAATTCAGCAAAATGACGACTGCTTTTTGTTCAACTCGTTTAGTCAGTGAGGTCTCACGAAGTGGCCTTTTTTTAGAATCTGTTCATCAGTCTTTGAGCTTCGTTGCTCAGTAACGATCTCGTTGCCTCGAATCCTTACATGATTTCTGTGAAATCCTTGATTGTTTTTACCAATTATGCAACGCTAGCTAGTTGCGTAGCGCAGTATCGTGTTGTTGACTGATTACAGCATCTTTTGTTCCTACAAAATTACTCATAATTAAAACACTCGTCAATGTGCGTATGTGTTTTACGGTTAGTCGTTCAGTTTTGTTGGTGGTTGCATCACAAGTGAACACTTGCTTGCGTTCATTTTTGGTTTCTAATGAAAGTTATCAGGTAAAAAAAAAGTATGAACAAACGTTTGCTTTTCTTTTAATTGGGGGCCTTGTTATCCCACAAACCTTCTGGTCCTGGTTTTATCGACCCCAGAAACATGGAAAGCCGAGTACATTTTATATAAAATGTACAAACATATTTTATTCCGTCAAACTAAAAATTCCCTCACTCCTCTTTAAGATTCATCGAGAGTGGCAAACAAATAGGCGCGCAAAGCATGTTTATAGCTGCCCCCTCTTTCTATGCCATCTTTTCTGGTTCACAAGTTTGGCTTAATCGTTTACTTCGTTAGGTATTTTATCGTTTTGTTCAATGAGCATCTTCTTGATCTTCTTCTTTTTCTTCTCCTGGGATTTAAGTAAGAGAAGTACTAGTATTTTAGCCAATTAACCTATAGAAAGCTGTAAACAACGAAGACGGTAGTGGCAGCGACATCGTCACAAGCCAATAATATGATTGGTTGGAAATTGTCGTGTTGCACGTGTAGGGCTCATTTTTGTCCATTTCTTTGATGTGATATACCAAGCGACAAAGTGAAATGTCCAAATTTGAAGTTTTAACTACACCGCGAGTTTTTGTAATATTTTCATGCATACATGCATTCCAATTGTAAAATCATTCACTTATTTTTCACAACGTGAACTGGATAGAAAGAAGCGAAATAAAATAAGACAGGGTCTCAATGGGGTGGTAGCTTTTACGGTTATCGGCTAAAATTTTGGCTCTTTTACGGCTATCGGTTAATTTTTCCAGTTAACAACAAAGTTAAAACGTAATTTCTTTTGTTTCAAGGAGTTAAATATTAATAAACCTGTATTTTTTGTCTCTTTAAAGCAAAATAAAGGACTTAGGATCATCTCGGGATGAAATAAGCCATTCTTTTGAAAAATTTTAACATTTGATAGATCATAATTTTTATAAAGTATTCCACTTCTTATATTATTTTACTCATACAAATGTCAATAGTCAATTTAAAAATAATCTTTGTGAAAAAGCAAAAGCAGACACGCAAACGCCCAACTCAAGGCCGGCGCGCCAAATTCATCTATAACAGAAATGGCCGTTTTCACACTAGAGGCGGATTATTCGGGTTAGACGGGTTATCCCTTTGACAATTCGCGTCAGATAGGAAATACGTCTTAATTTGAAAATGGAATGGTTTTAATTTTGAATCAGAACAGTCCGCCTGGCTTTCTCCGTCAATTTTGACGAACAATTTAATTGAAGATGGATTATCCATTTCAGATAGCCTGCGTACAGCCGCCCCCTCCCCTCAGAAGGAGGAAGAGAGAAGGAGTGTCTTTGGGGGAGGGGCTGACTGTACTCAGGCTAGTCTCAGATGGATAATCCGTTTCTAGCTTTAGTGTGAAAACGGCCAATGTAAAACAATTCCAGTGTCCAGTGTTTTTAATGATAGCGAAGGACTGTACAGAACGACTGTCTGCCGTTGCCTTGTCCGTAGGCCTCATTATTCCGCGCGGCTGATGCGTTTCGGGTCACGTGGTCCGAGCGAGTTTTTTTCTCAGATACGCCACCGAAATGCCTTGACCGAGATCGCGTGGGAAGACGCCGTAGCGTCACAGAAAAACAGGGAATTGTTACATGGAATTGTTGTTTATAGGCGACGTGTTTTACAAACAGTGACATCTCTTCGTGTTGCTAGTATTTCGAGGGCACGACCTCCTGAAAATGTCAAATATTAATCCCCAGCAAGAAGCCAGATTTTCGCTATGGAAAAAATTAGTTCTCCGAGAGAGCGGCGGCGGAAATGGAGCCTAGGTCTAGGTCAACACCTAAAAGCTAGGCGCTTGGCCTAACGTGCGTACGCAGTCAAAGTAGCCGCCGGGAAATAAAAACGCAACCATAAGTGAGTTTAGCACCTTCCTTAAAACCAACAAATCTAGGGAACAATTTCTTTTACGGTTAACTCTTTCTTACCCATTTACGGCTAACGGTTAAAATTTTTCAATTTTTACGGCTATCAACTAAATTTTTGGTCGTTTTACGCCTATCGGTTACCCTCTTAAGACAGCACAGAACTTTATTTTACAGTCACGTTGCCATAGTAAGCGTATTTTCGTTTCATATCTGGCGTGAGGGAGTTCTGCTCAAAGTGGTGTTCTTACCAACGGATACATCGTAATATCTTTCATTGAGGACTTGGGAGGCTAGTGTTCAACTTCAGTGAGATGGAACTTGTTGCAATTTTTTAAACTGAGATGTCAACAAGGTTTCTGCATTCAAGCGAAGCATAATAGCATATTCCCCGCGGAATTTTACTGCACTTGTCCGTCGCGCATTCGTATCTCTTGATAACATCTACAGTGATGTGCATGACAAGTTTCAACCTGTTACTCTGAGCTCGCATTTAAATCTTTTAATTTTTAAAACTGGATCGATCCTTGAGCAACTTAAAATTCCCCAAAATTTCTTTATTGTTTAGTCTCAGGCAAGGCCTCATTGTTTTTCAGATGACTTGCCTTATACGTTGTACACAAAATAGTTCCATTAGGTTAAGAGTCAGCATTGTTCTCTAATGAACACCCTGTGTAAAATCATGGACCTTCTGGCGATATATATTTTAATCGCAAAGGCCAATTTATTCGGCTTAAAATGAATGGTAAGAGTTCAGTGGATTCAAACATCGGTTTAATGGTAATTGAAATAGCCGGTCATCCGTAATTATAGGTAAACAAACATTGATATTAATCCACGTAACACCAGTCCCACAAGATATTGTATCATTTTGATTACAATTTCGGGGAAACACATGAGAGAGAAAGTTAAATGAAGAAAGATGATCTGTTTAATGCACCAAGCAATGCCGACATCAAGCAGGGCACCTATAGAGTATGTGCCCGTTCCGGCGGCCATGTTGGAGGAGTAAAACAATAAAACTATTTTCCTTTGGGAAGACAAATATTTTTATTGTTTACTCCTCCAGCAGGGTCGCAGCGCACAGACTCTTTAAAAAACATCAAGGATTTATATAAAGCCAAAATAGCTGAATATGGATAAATGTTCTACAAGTAATAAATATAGTACAAAGTTCAAGATGGGTGTAACAAAAGCAGCTGATCTCAGAATGCTTTTTCTATCTCCCCTTCACGGGAAGAGAAGGGCGCCCCTTTGCCCCACTCTCCTAGTCCTGATTTTTTTAGAAAGCAGAGTCTGAAAAAAAATAATAATAAATATTCCCTTACTCCTCTTTAAGATTCAGCGGCGAATGAATTCACTTGTCAGCTACTCTGAGAAACAAGGATACTTGAAAGCCTTCTTTTCTGACAGACGTCAGTTTGTGTTATCATATTTCACGCACGTTTCGTGAGTTAACTGCGATTGGAGACCGTTGCTGGTGAGAAGTAACTAACCACGTAAACAAGTTTCACTTGCAAAAAGATGTTACCTTAAAAACATTTTCTTATACCTTTTTCAGAATTTATCGCAAAGCATTATTAGTATACCACAAAACAATCATTAGCAAGCCAATGGATCGTTTAATCCGTCAACTTTTACAGAAATTTGATTTATAAGACCAAGAAAGAACGATTTTAATACGATAATCGCGTGGTTCACTGCTGAATCACAAATTGGCCATTAAATAAGCTCTTCTAACCAGCCGACCGACCACAGACGAGCGAAGGAGTGGTAGAAGTTGGATAAACATTGTTGATTCATTGTTTGCACTGCCTTGTAATTAACCTCAAAACTGCTGTTAGTCCATGTGAGTCACTATTATAAAATTAGTGCTCAATATCGATTTGTTTGAAACAAGGATAACAATGTGGCGAAATGAACGCAAAATGTTGAAGATTTCACAAATATGTACAAAAGCAGCTCTTTTGTTTGTGTTATATATTGCGCGCGCCTTTTAATGAAATATATGTATGTTTGCATTATAAAGATAGTTATGTGTATGGCCCGATTGTTAGTTGATCACCCTTTTTCGACCATAAACTGATGGAATTTAATCATCCGGATGAGTAAAACGCTACAAAGGATTCCTGTCGATGAATTGACGCTCCTCTCCGATAATTGGGCCGTAGTTATCTTTTGAGTTATTCAAGTGCTCTTGACTCCCGCTGGTGTCGAAAGGTCAGCCAGTAAACAGCAGTTCCCCTCAGGACTTCACCATCCCGGCAGATCTCGTCTATCAAGATTTATCACTTCCGGGTTCAAAACACTTGTCAGGTTTGGTTTGGCACCCGGGTTAACGGTTAACACTGAAATCGTAAGTAGTAACCTAAGTCAATGCCCTCAGGCGTCTGGTTGCTCAACAGTTTACCAACGTTATGTAATTACAACAGAAGTTCAGTCAGTACAGTCAGTATTTCATTCTTTTATTCCACTATCCTGGACAATACAGTGCAAAGAATATCTAAAAAATTTGAAATTTTCGCCAAACTCCTCGCGTGATGTTTGATTTCACCAAAATAATGCAATGCAAATTATTAAATGGAAGCAATGTTCCGTGTCCGTGTTCCGTTGCCATGCCTTGGGATACCTGTGAAGCAGGGAATTTACTCTATATCTATAGTCATGCAGTAATTTAATGACTACTAGAGGGTGATTCTCATAAACAGTTCTTTCAGGAATTCACTATCCCGGAGGATCTCGTCCATCAAAATTTATTACTTCCGGGTTCAAAACATTTGTCAGGTTTGGTTTGGCAGCCGGGTTAACGGTTAACACTGAAATCGTAAGTAGCAACCGACGTTAACGCCCTCAGGCGTCTGGTTGCTCAACAGTTTACCAACGTTATGTAATTACAACAGAAGTTCAGTCAATACAGTCAGTATTTCATGATTTTATTCCACTATCCTGGACAATACAGTGCGAAGAATATCTAAAATATTTGAAATTTTCGCGAAGCTCCTCGCGTGATCTTTGATTTCACCAAAATAATGCAATGCAAATTATTAAATGGAAGCAATGTTCCGTGTCCGTGTTCCGTTGCATTGCCCCAAGATACCTGTGAAGCGAGGAATTTACTCTATATCTATAGTAATGAAGCAATTTAATGACTACTAGAGGGTGATTCTCATAAACAGTTCCTTCAATTTTGGAGTCAAACCACCAAGCTCCTTGGAGATATCAAGGTGAGAAGAGCCGCTTTGGCTGAGCGAAAAAGCTTTGAATGGGAAACTAAACCACATATATAAATCAGTGTTAGAATTCGTACACCACCTTTTTGGTAACTATTTCGTTCTGGGGATATCAGCTCACAACACCATGATACCTGAGCAAATGTAGCAGGTGTATAGTGAGAACAAAAAGATGTGATTGCAGATGAATTTGAGGACAAACCCCCTCAGTATAAGAGCCCCAAGAACGTTTGGGCCGAAGCGAAATCTCGTTTTCTGTTTAAATACTAACTAGTGCAGTGAAAGCTATTCAATCCTGGATTCCATAATTTGCTAAAACTATTAGCTTAAAGCACGCCTCCACGAAGCCAATTAAGGTCGAGAGTTCTTCGACTTAAAGTGGGGCTGAAGATAGCATGGAAGTTAAGCTTTGACTTGGACTCCTATTGAAGGGTGTTCTTCACACCCTTTATTCAAAATAAGGCAACTTGGTTGAATGACATATTTTAGTCAGTTTGTGCAGTGAGGCCTAAGGAAATACTTGATTAAGTGGTTTGGGATCCCATGATTATTCTCCCTGAATGACTACTCAACAGAAACAAACTTTTCCCAGACCCATCGACAAGATCATTTTAAGGTTTGAAGGAAACAGGTCAAAATAGTATAATTCAAAATTTCCATCTAGGGAACGCAATTTTTCATTTTCAAAATCGTTCTGTTAGGAAGTTTGTCATGTATACACTATTAGGAAGTGGGAGTGCATATAAAGGATTCAAATGAACAGATGTAGTCCATTCTCCTTTGTACAAACTATATATTTATATATATACACACCCACACTATGTATGTTTATTGGTAGAACTGATTTAAAAGAGCGCTCAACTCTAAGAGGAGAAGTGATAAGTCAGTTTAGGACTTCATCAATAATTTAATGTTATATTTCTACTGTTCGGTTTCGTATGGTCAAAGAATGACCACACTCCTTGGGAAATTTTAACCGTGCAAATATAAGTTTGGAAGTCAAGCATGCTTTCGATCATTCATACTTAAGTACGAGTGTTCTATAAAGGTTCTTGTCATTCATGAAATTAGAATACTGAAAAGGCAAAATGGCGGAAAATGATAACCAGTACACTGTGGATAGACAGCAAGTGGAAGAGGAAACCAGCTTCATGCTGGAGCCGGTAAGAGATAAAGTTGTATTTTGTCATTATTTTAACACTTTTTTCAACACTTTTACCATCCTTTTAAAATTCTTGCCTCGAAAACGGCATTTGTTTCCCATTTTCACACTTTAAGCATTCCACGAATTAATTATTCGCATTCTTTAGTCGTCAAAGTAATTATCGTGGTAAGAAGGAGCATCTCTCTCAACCCACCCGACCCTCATGTCCAACTATCCTTGGCCTTAAGAGCCCTAGAGAGCTGGCACCAGTCACTGTTTTTGTACCCATGATGTCAAACCGGCATGCTTTACGCTTAGACTTTAAAGCCTTCTTTCCTATTGTCAAACAATTAATTCTTTAGTTGTGTTCTTTGAAGGTGATCGTGCGAAATAGGAAAGTGCCGAGCAAGAAGGAAAAGCCAAAAGCGTTTGGTTTGTCTTACCTTGTCAACGAACATCCCCCATGGTATCTTTGCATATGGTTGGCTTTTCAGGTAGGCAAATACAGCTGAAGATTTGCTTTGCTTCTTTTAACTTAGTCTTCGGATTCGTCTAGATTAATTGGTGACTACAGTATTTCTCTTTTTTTAACACTGTTCCTAATATTTCAGCATTTCCTATAACCATGCTTGGATCAACATTGGCGATTCCCTTCATTTTACAAATTCCCATGTGTTTTCAAGGCAACAAACTTGTCATTAGTGAAATCCTGAGCACTATATTCTTCGTATCTGGAATTGCTACATTGTTACAGACTACGTTTGGTGTCAGGTTAATATATTTTTTTGCTGTAATTTTTGAATTGTGGGCAAGGGCAAGAGAAGTTGAAGCCATGGGGAAAGATTATTGTTACGACAATGATAAAAAATACGCTTTTGGCTTAATAATGAGGGAAGAAAATAATCGTGCTGCACGTGCAACTATCGAGCACGTGCGGAATGCAGAACGCATTCAGTGTACAATGTCGTTCTCTGCAAAACAACAACCAATTTTAAGATTTTGACAAGGAGGCGAGCATACAACAGTGAATCGTTCACTTCGAAATCCAGTTTTGTTGGCCAGAACAAAACGTAGCAAAGAGAAGCACCGGATTCCGATGAAGGATATGATAAACAGTTACAAAGAAATGCAAATGAAAAAAAGTAAGGCTGATCAAATAGTGAACGGAATATATATATATTATTCTTACTAAAATTGCGAAAGGCACAGCCTCTCTTCAATATAATGTTACAATGAGTTGTTGAACTATGAAAGTTGTGATAGCAATGTAAACTTTGTTTTATAGTTATTTACTTATATAACGTTTCAGCTCTTTCAATGAAAGATAATTTAAATTGTTTCAGGCTTCCAATTGTTCAAGGAGGAGGTTCCTTAGCTTTTGTTGGTCCAACGTTTTCCATTTTGTCCCTGCCGCAGTGGAAATGCCCAGACCTGAGTGGTAAGCTTACATCGATGAAATCTTATTTGCATTCATGGACTCTTAAACCATGTTAGATGTCCTCTATGCAAGAAATACAAGAAAACAAGTCCTGAAAAAACACCTGATACGAGAAAAATGAGAGAATTAAAAAGAAATCTGTCAATAAGGCTATTTTTGGAAATTTTGGCGAGTGGTTACGAAAATCAGTTCTACGAAACTTGCACTTGCGCTAAAGAGAAAACCTATGGCACTGGATTTGCATGAAGACAAGAAATTGAGCGCAGTACCTCTAGACGTGGTGCCAGAGCGTCGTACCTAACGATGTTCTCCGAGATTTCGGCCCGGTAATCGCTTTTGGAGCCAAAAATGTTTGAAATGTCAACCTTTTTGAAAACGAGTGTATATATATATATAGAAGTGTACGAGTTAATTCTTCCATATAGTAGGTAAAAGTGTGTCTTGGTGAGCTGTGTATTTCGCAATTGCCCATGCACTCTCTTAGAAACACTTAGCCAAGGTTCAGACGGATTATGCAAGTCATTTTGCCTCCCGTTCTGTACATGCTGATGCGTACTGACACAAAATACATGGCATTTTTGCATACGCATTTGTTTGGTGAAAGGAAAATAAATCGGGCATTATCTCGTTCTCTCCTAATAAATTTCGCTCGTTTTTTTTTTTTTGCTTCCAACAAAGATTCCAAAGGCCTAATTTGTACTCACGGACATCGTAAACTATGTTAGATTTATTCTACGCAAAAAAAACCTCTCGCAAAAACAGCTAATAGTAGAAAAATGACAACATTTAGAAAAGTGGTAAAAATGGCCTCTTTTGAAAAGTTTTATTTTAAATTTTTCAATCCCACTGATATTGACTTATAATGTTTGTATTTTC